ATTAAAAAAAAATCTAACACAAGTACTCAGGCCATTTTGTACATTACACACACATCGATTACATCATGCTTTCCATAAACAGACGCTACGTCACTTGGTACCTGCATGTATCTACCGGTATATACGCTAATTGTGTAATTGAGATAGAGGTGTGTAGACTTTGTTTGCTACAGTGCTGGATAACAATTGGACTTAATTATTTTGGCCCTCTGGGTGTTAAAATAGGTATTCATTATCTGATTAACGGATAATAAAAAGGTGTGAAAGTCATTTAAATCAGACATAACATTGCATTGGGACCAGACAATTAAGGTCGCTTGTCACATATGACAGGGAGTCGTTTAATTCAGACCATTTATATAGGAAAATACGTTGGGAGTACTGAAACAAGGTCGGATAAGACAGGGAGTCGTTTAAACCAGGGGGTCGCTAAGGCAGTCTCGACTGTATTGCATCTGGGGTATCAATTGTGGATTTGTTTTGTTTTGTGATAGTTATTCAGAGCAATAGATAGGGTGCGTATTTGTGTATTCATGTTATTAATTTTACAAAATACTCAATTGTTTGAGGGGGGCATTTAGATTAATCCTTGTCCGTCCATCCATCCTTCTGTCCATCCGTTATCATTTGTGTAGCACATAGCTCAAAAGTATTTGACCTAGACTCATGAAACTTTATAGAAATGTTGATCAGCATGTGTAGTTGTGTACCTGGGTATTTTCTTATGGATATATTTAGTATTTTTAGAGTTATTGCCCCTGACTTACAATTTTGAATTTGTGTCGCACGTTACTCAAAAAGTATTTGACATAGTGTCATGAAACTTCATAGAAATGTTGAGCAGATGTGTACTTGTGCAACTGGTTATTTTCGTATGGATATATTTAGTATTTTTAGAGTTTAGCCCTTGACTTAGTAAAAATTTAGGACAGTAAGGCTCGACTATTCGAAAAAGTTGTCACAAGGGTGTTTTGTTGAGTATAATAATGCTAATTACCTATGAATACATAAAATTGACCAAAAAGGTACAAAGGCTTGTTATTAAGATGTTTTATCAAGTAAATCACTGCTTTATTATTATGAATGCATAAAATTGTCCCAAAAATGGCACAAACCCTTCAGTAGTTATGGAGATAACAGCTTACAAGCAAAACTTTACCATGAATTTCTAAGTTGAAAAAGGGGAGAAAAATCAGACTAAATGCAAGATAGAATTATGCATCTTGGTCAGTGACCTACAATTAAGACCCTAAATACATTTGTGAAGTTTTAAATAAATATCTTTAATAGTTATTGAGATATGTAAAACTTGCATGTAAACATTAACCAAGACCCTAAGTAAAAAGGGGGAGATAAATCAGCCTTAATACATGACACAGATATGAGTGCTGTTCAGTGATCATTATTTATGACCACAAATATACATATGAAGTTTCAAGTTTGTATCTTTAATAGTTTCAGAGATATGCAAAACTTGCATGGTAAACTTAACCAAGAAAATGAGATTTTTTTAGTACAAAAGGGAGCATAATTCAGTCAAAATACATGGCAGAGTAATGGATCTTGAGATGTGACCTTCAATTATGACCCTAAGTACATGTGTAAAGATTCAAGTAAATATCTTTGAAGACCTTTAACCAAAATTTCTAAGTTTCAAAGGGGCAAATAATTCTGCAAATATTGCAGGCAGAGTTATGCAACTTTGCAACTTTGATGTACATTGTTACTATAAAAAAGTATTGTAAATTTCAATTGAATATCTCAAGCAATAATTGAGATATTTGACTTTACAAAAAAACTTTAACCAAAATTTCTAAGTTAAAAAAGGGGCATAATTCTGTAAATATTGTAGGCAGAGTTATCCAACTTTTCAATCTGATGTACATTGTTACTATAAATAAGTATTGTAAGTTTCATTTGAATATCTCAAGCAATAATTGAGATATTTGACTTTACAAAAAACTTTAACCAAAATTTCTAAGTTAAAAAGGGGCATAATTCTGTCAATAATGTAGACAGAGTTATCCAACTTGTCAATCTAATGTACATTGTTATTATAAATATGTAATGTATGTTTCAATTGAATATCTCAAGCAATAATTGAGATATTTGACTTTACAAAAAACTTTAACCAACACAGACGCCGACTCGGAGGCCGACGCCGGGGCGACTGCAATAGCTCGAATAGTCGATCTAATAAATCCACAATTGAAACCCCAGATGCAAAACTTCACATGCTGATCAACATTTTTTTCCTGTAAATTTTCATGACCCTAGGTCAAATACTTTTTGAGCTACATGTGACACAAGTTGAAAATTGTAAATTTTAACTAAGTCAAGGGCAATAACTCTAAAAGTACTAAATATATCCATAAGAAAATACCCATGTGCACAACTACACATGCTGATCAACATTTCTATAAAGTTTCATGAGTCTAGGTCAAATACTTTTGAGCTATGTGCGACACAAAAGAGAACGGACAGACGGATGGACGGACAAGGGTAAATCTAAATGCCCCCCCCCCCCCCTAAAGTGGGGGCACAAAAAAATCAATTCAGTATTTTGTAAAATTAATTGCAAAAATACACAAATACGCACCTTATCTATTGCTCTGAATAACTATCACAAAAAAAAAACAAGAACTGTAGGCTCTGTGTCAATAGATGCTCTGATGAAAGCAGTAGCATGCCTGGTAAATACTTTATAGGGACCAAAAGATGATTTGAAACATAACAGTTGTGAATAATTAAAAATCCACCATAAAACGAAGTTGTTTAAATATTTTGAACAATGTTTTATGTGCGATATTCGGGAATGTGGGCAAAAAACTGGCACATTGGCACATTTGGGAGATTGCGTAAATAATAATAAAAATAATAAAACATAATTAACCATGAAATTCATATCTTCATATAATTGAATACGCAATCGATCTTAAAATCATAGGGTAACAGGTTTTAGAATACCCAATTAAATGGAGCCATTATATCCATTTCCACATGAAATGATGGAGTAATAAGCAATTCACTTTCAAAGCTTATCTGTTGCTCTGGTTATTGCCCTTGACTTAATAAAATTTGAAATTTTCAACTTGTAGCTCAAAAAGTATTTGACCTAGGGCCATGAAACTTTACAGGAATGTTGATCAGCATGTGAAGTTTTGCATCTGGGGTTTCACTTGTGAATTGATATGTTTTGTCAGAGTTATAGCCCTTGACTAAGTAAGTGAAAATTTGCAATTTTCAATTTGTTTTGTGTGTACCTCAAAATGTATTTAATCTAGGGTCATGAAACTTAACAGGAATGTTTGTCAGCATATGTAGTTGTGCACCTTGGATTTCCCTTGTGGATTTTTCCAGTATTTGTAGAGTTATTGCCCTTGACTTAGTAAAAGCCGTTTCATTATGTTGTGTTATTTGTTCCTTGAGTGCTTGAATTAGAATCAATCAACTTTGCAGGAATAATGAAACACAGTGATGTTGATCATTACTAATGATCAACATCACTGTGAAGCTATGCACTTGGGATTTTGCATGTGGATTTTTTTAGTTTGTTAGAGTTATTGCCCTTGACTTAGTAAAAATTTGCAATTTTCAAATTGTTCATGACTAAGCTCAAAAAGTATTTGACCTGTAGGCCTGAAAGTTTACAAGAATGTTGGTCAGCATGTGTACTTATGCACCTTGGGGTTTGCTTGTGGATTTATTCATTATTTGTAAAGTTCCTTCCCTTTATTTAGTAAAAGATTTTTAGTTTTCAACTTGTGGCACATATAGCCTAAAAAATATTTGACCTAGAGTCATAAGATTGAAAAAACAGTGGCGTGTTGGGGCACCCGTGCCCTATGGACACATTTCTAGTTTCACTTAGAATTTACCGTAAAATCCCGATTTAATTAACGCCCCCAACCACTTTTGAAAACCTTGTGTATAATTTAAACAAAGAAAATAAAAGAAAATAAAGAAACTCTCTTACTAGATCGGCGATTTATGGTATATCGAATATGATTCCATTTATGAAAAATATCCGTGAATCAAAACTTAAACACTTTAAAGTTCACTAAAACAGAGTGTAGTTTACTTGAAAACAGTAAATGTTGAAAACACAAATCAGTAAACATATTTACAGCACACACTATCGATATAGCTTTGCAGCTGGACAACTACACACATTGTAAATTAGGAAAGTAGCATTGATTTACCTCAGATCGTTGTCAAGATCAAAGGTGTCAACTGCAAGTATCTGGGAATTTTTGGGAGTAAAATTAGAGAAAGCTGGCGTGTATATCAAAGGTATCATGGGTTGACAGAGTGATGATGTGTTTGTGGATTTTTTTTATATTGTTTAAAGAGAGAATTTTTTTATATTTTTTTTTTTTGAGAATTTTTTTTTTTGGAAAAATTTTTTTTTAATCTTTTTTTTTTCTAATCGTTATTAAACGCCCCCTTTTGAAAAATGTTATGCCTAAGGGTGTTAAATCGGGATTTTACGGTATGTTAAAGTTTGCATACCACCTCAGCTATTTTCATGTTTCATTGACATCTTGCTTTGAAACAAGTTGAAATTTTATACACTTTTTTGAGAGCAAAATAAGGCTCTCATCAAGGCCTATAACTGTAACATGGATTTTGAAAAACTTTTTACATTATCAAGGCTCTTACTATCAAGCACTAAGAATAGTCGAGACTGCTGTCCTACTGACAGCTCTTGTTGTCCTACTGACAGCTCTTGTTTAATGTTTTGACCCTTTCCATAATTAATGTAGATTGTAAGTGGCCTGTTTGCAATGTGTCTGTAAGTGGCCTGCATTGTGTCAATTACTTCCTTTGTTCACGTGACAACATTTTACTTTTAAATACAATTTCAAAATTTTCCTGAAAATTAGTGTAAATCTAAAGGCATGCTGCTTTAACTGATTACAGCTGTATCTGAAATATCTTCACAAATTTCCAGTATATTCAGTGCTGTTATTATAGTGAAGCTCTTATTCTTTTTGAAGGTTTACACTGGTTGATTAAAGCAACATGGGATCTACACCAAAAACTGCGGAGAGAAATGTCATTATTAACCTAACAGAAATTCTAAAGAAAAATTGTAAGTATCTGTTTTAATATAACACTTCATAATACTACTATATTGATAATGTTATGCAATAAATTGTTGCATGATAATTATTCCCAGCCATAGAAATCAGGAGAGGGATATAATTATATCGAAATGGTTGAATAAAAGGACATTTGCTGGCTTCTGGAAACAAGTAGCAATGAATTTTAAGTTTTTTTCCATATTATTTGGTTACACTGGAACCAAAAGTGATTTGCCATTAGTATAGGTTGTTTGTTGAATTTAAAGTCACACTAACACAATATAGGTCATATGGCAACTTTCCAGCTTTACTGGTGGAGGAAGACCTCAGGTCCTCTTTCTTAATTATTTCAGGTATGAGCAGGCACTTGAGTGGAACCACCAACATTCCGTAAGCTACTAGCTCAGTTAGCTGGATAGCTTCCTTACCTGAAAAATACAAAGTCCCTGCAGGGAATTGCACCAACATTGGTGATTTGAAGTTTGTGACCTTAACCTACTTGCCCATTTTGGCGGCTGTCAATTCTGACCTTGCTTTGTTCTGTTGGTAGCTCTATTTTTATGCCCCCAAAGGGCGGCATATTAACATTGCACTGTACGTCCGTCTATCTGTCCTATTTTCATCTGTGTCCGAACTTCGTCTTACATTGAGGGCAGGGCATTTTTTTGCTAAAATTGTGAAGTGGCCTGGGCCTGTTCATTTTGTGAAAAAAGCGTGATATGTCATGAAATTGTGAAAAAATGACATAATAAAATTTGCCATTTAATGAAATTTTGAAACCGGAAATGATGCAGCTTGATAATTATTCCTGTAAAATCTGCTTTGAGCTGGTACTTTAATCTGGTAAACATGCACAAATACTATATAACTTGATTAAAACTATTTACATGTTTGCAATAGGGAAAAATCAAGTTTTACCAGAAGGTAAACAATGAAATTTGAAGACAAAGTCCCAAAATTTTATGAAATCTCTTTTGAAATTGTGAATTTTTTCCTGCCGCTTTGTGAAAAAAAAGTGCAATTTTGAATTGTGAAGGGGCCTGTTATCGGCCCTGTTATTGAAGGATAAAATGCCTTGGAGGGATTTTGAAATAGCTTGGCACAAATGTTTACCACATCAAGATGATGTGTCTTGTCCAAGAACCTTGTTCCTACCTCAAAGATCAAGGTCACACTAACAATTCGAAGTTTCACTTTATCACAATGAGAGATTATAGGTACACACATTTGTGTCGAATCTGTTGCTTTGTCATGCATGGAAGGAGTTTAAAATTACATGGCACAAAAGTTTACCACATCAAGACGACCTGTCGCGTCCAAGTCCCATGTCCCTACCTCCAAGGTCAAGGTCATACTTGTGTCCAAACTGTAGCTTTGTCATGCATGGAAGGATTTTAAAATTATGTGGCACAAAAGTCAAACACATCATGGTGATGTATTTCATCATTTAAGACCCATATCTGTTAGTCAAAGGTCAAGGTCACACTAACATTTTGAAGTTTCACTTTATCACAATTAGAGTTTTTAGGTATACACATTTGTGTCCGGACTGTAATTTTGTCATGCAACATAGGATTTTAGAATAACTTGGCATAAATGTCTACCAAATCAAGACGACATGTCGTGTCCTAGACCCATGTCCCTAATTCCAAGGTCAAGGTCACACTTTTAGTTTGAATGTACTCATTTTCTCAAGAAGAGTTTGAAGGTACACATTCATGTCCGGACTGTAACTTTGTGATGCACGGAAGGATTTTAAAATAATTTGTCACAAATGTCTACCACATCAACACGATGTGTCGCGGCTGAGGCTTATGTTTGTCTGTCCAATTTTGTGTCCCCACTTACACAACAATCATGTCCCGATTGTAAATTTGTCATGCATTTAGAGATTTTGAAATAACTTGGCACAAATTTCTACTCATCACTAAGTTATGTAGCGTCCAAGAACTATGTCCCTTCTTCAAAGGTCAAGGTCACACTTACATTTTGAAGGTTCCTGGACTGTAACTTTTTTTATGCACGAAAGGATTTTTATCTCACCTGTCACAAAGTGACATGGTGAGCTTTTGTGATCTTTTTTCCTCTGGCGTCTGTCCATCCTTCGTCCGTCCGTCATCCGTCTGCCGTCCATCCGTAAACTTTTACTTTAAAGGACCGCTGAGCCAATTTCATCCAAACTTCACAGGAATGTTCCTTTGGTAATCACCAAAGAATTTAATTCCATGCAAAACTCTGGTTGCCATGGCAACAAAAGGAAAAAACTTAAAAAAGCTTCTTTTTAAAAAAAAACCAAACAGCTAGAGCTTAGATATTTGGCATGAGTGAGTGTCTACCAAGTTTGTTCAAGTAAAAGCCCTGGGATCAAAATTGGCCCTGCCCCTGATGATCATAAGAGAAACCGGTTGGCAAATAATTAAATAAGTTAACTCATGGACTGTATTTTTTGTTTTATTTATATGTGACTTTTTTCCGGCACTTGTTTTCATTTTTTGTATATAATATATATATATATATATATATAAATGCGTATATATATGCATATATATATATAAATGCATGTATATAAATGCGTGTGTAATATATATATATATATATAAATGCGTATATATGTAAATGCATATATATATATATATGCGTATATATATAAATGGTATGTATATATATATACAAAATATATAGACAAAACTTATGTGACAAGACAGACTGATTAAATTTTTACAAGGAAACGTTAAGATTTGTTGAAGCATTTCTAAAAAGTTGAGCGTTGCCCCCGCCCGGCGGTGGCTCTTGTTTTTATAAGTAACATAATCTTATCATGCAAATATTTGTGTAAATGACTACTGCATATCTTGAATTTCAGCTGATCAATTGTTATCAGGGGAGACAAATCTGTGTCTTACTACAAGCTCTTTGAGTGTTTTGGCAGTCAATTTTCGCCGATTTAGTGAAAATGCTGGACATACAATAGAGGCTGAATCATCATCAGGTTGTATAGACTGGAGGTCAAAGAAAAAAGATGAAATAAACTTTAAAACTTGGCAGGATAACATAAGGACATTGATTGATTTTGTTTGGAAGGTGAAAGCCTTAAAGGTATCAAAGCTGCTGAAAGTTAGATTTTCCCAGATATTTTCTTTTTGTGCCAAGAGATTGGTATTGACATTTCCTTCTATATGCAACTCCTACATTTCTCAAGAGTTTTCAGCTCCCAGAAAAATTTTGGGGGAGCATATAGTCGCCGGGTCGTCCGTCTGTCCATCTGTACGAACCCAGAGGTACTTGTGTGACTTGGAGAACAATTGGTAACAGTAAATTCTCTTTGATCCTATTCATTCCGTTTATACTTGTGTGTGTTTTTTTAAGCCTTGTGTGACTAAAAATGGCCAAAAAGATCAAAGGAAAAGTCACATAAGTACCATTTTGTTAGTACATCTGTCCGTCACACTTTCGTGTCCGGTCCATAACTTTGTAATTTATCAAAGGAATCTGAAATAACTTGGCACAAATGTTTGTTATAATAAGACGATGTGTCATACGCAACAACCAGACCCCTACCTCAAGGGTCAAGGTCGCAGTTGCTCATTCAAGGTCAACATTGTCTATTTGAGGGTATATGTCGTGTCCGGATCTTTGAAGGGATTTTGAGAATTACTTGCCACAATTGTTCACAATAATGAGACAATGTGTCATGCGCCATAACCGGTCACCTACCACCAAGGTCAAGGACATGCTTGGAGGTCAAAGATTAACATAGTCTGTTATAAGGTATATTTTGTGTCTGGTCCATAACTTTTTCATAGATCAAAGGATTTTGAAAATACTTGGCATAAATAGTCACTATAATAAGACGATGTGTCATGCGCAACACCTGCACCCCTACCTCCAAGGTCAAGGTCACAGTTAGAGGACAAAAATAAACATAGACTGTTATAGGGTATATTTTGTGTTCGATCTAGAACTTCTATATAGTTCAAGGGATTTTAAAATAACTTGGCACAAATAGTCACAATATAATAAGAAGATATGTCAAGCACAACACCTGCACCCCTACGTCCAAGGTCAAGGTCACACATAGAGGTCAAAGGTTAACAGAGTCTATTATATGGTATATTTTGTGTCCCCGTCCATAATTTCTTTATAGATCAAGGGATTTTGAAAAATACTTGGCACAAATAGTCACAATAAAAGTCCCTACCTCCAAGGTCAAGGTCATACTTAGAGGTCTAAGATTTACATAGTCTGTTACAGAGTATATTTTGTGTCTGATCTAGAACTTCTTCATAGTTCAAGGGATTTTACAATAACTTGGCACAAATAGTCACAATAATAAGAGGATATGTCATGTGTTACACCTGTGTCCCTACCTCCAAGGTCAAGGTCACACTTAGAGGTCAAAGATTAGGGCTGGGGCGAGTATTCGAGTACTCGGATAATCACGAATCAAAATGAAAAATCGAGTACGAATATTCGTCAGTCCAGAGATCGTGGATTGCAATTTTATTTGTTTATTATACATTCGCTGTTTTTTACACTTTTAATGTAAAAAAAATCAATTTGCGTATGAATTATGCAACGATTACCTAAATACAATTTGCTCTTTAAAGACAGGAAGTAAACAAACATGCACCATGATGCTGAGCTAGGAAGTCATTAGTTTCGAAAAAGGAATCACTTTATCTTTATTGAGCACTTGTTTTTAAATGAAAATAAATAAATATTTTTAGTCGCTTTGTATAGATCTATAATGACGTGACATGTATTGAAGACTGTTTTATTTTTAGGAAAAACGCAAGTTAATACGTCAGTGTGACATTACAGTACATGTATTGGCTGAAAAAGAGTGGCGCCAATATAAAAATCCCACCAGCAAAATTTACTTCCAATTTTTGGAAATACTTGTCTTTTCATGTGATAAGACAAGTTTGTTGTACCACCTGTATCAGTCAATTTGCCATGGCATGTTTTACAAACTGCTTATTCCTCAATTTCATTGAAAGAAAATTTTGCTGGTGGAATTTTATATTGGGGCGACTCTTTTTCAACCTAGTTTATATTTGCATTGCATATGATATGTTTAATGAATAATTAAATTAATGTTTAGTATTGTTTTAAGAAAAATTAACATGTTTTCAAAACTAATGTTCATGTTTTTATGGGTGTCTTGATAACCAAAAGATTTGTGGTTCGATTTGTGAATCGCATGTGCTGAATTGTGGATCAGATCGGATCGTCACTTACCCAACGATCCACACCCCTATCAAAGATTTACATAGTCTGTTATAGGTTATATTTTGTTTCCAGTCCATAACTTTTTCATAGTTCAAGGGATTTTAAAAATACTTGGTCTGAAAGTTTGTTTTGATCATTTCTTGGTCAAATTCGAATATGGGTCGCCTGAGATCAAAAACTAGGTCCCACTGCCCAAATATGGAAAAACCTTGTTAACACTCTAGTGGTCACATTTTTGACTTGATTATCATCAAACTTTATCAGGATGCTTATCTAGGTAATTGCTCAGATGAGTTCAAACTTGGGTCATCTCTGATGAAAAACTATTTCACAGGAGCAAAAAATAGAAAAATCTTGTTAACACTGTAGTGGCTACTGTTATGATCCAAATATCCTGGAAATTGGTCTGAAAGTTTGTTTTGATGATTTCTAGGCCAAGTACGAATATGGGTCACTTGGGGTTAAAAACTAGGTCACACTGCTCAAATATGGATAATCCTTGTTAACACTCTAGTGGTCACATTTTTGACTCACCTGTCATGAAACTAATTGCTCAGAATGCTTGTCTTTCTTCTGTAATTGTTCGGATGAGTTCGATGGGTCGGGTGTGCGATCTAGGGCCATCTTGGCCCTCTTGTATTACTTGTTTAGTTTTCCCTTTATCTTTGGATTTATTTCCTGGCTTTACAACCACACTTTTAAGTTTATTTTGTTTAGACTCAGCATGGCTTTTATGAGAAACAGGACCGATTCAGGCCTGTTTTGAACCAGAATTGGCAAAATCAGGGTGAAATTGACATGGACCCTGAATTTTTAAGAAATCTCACATGGGAATTCAAGTTTTTTCTACCCTGACATCGTCTTCATTTTGGTAAAAGTCAGGGTGGAAGCAGGAATTTTTGCACTTAGAAAAAATTTTGACACAGATTTTACTGACTTTGAGAAATAGAAGCAAAATCTACCCAGATATTTCAATGTTAGAAAATTTTCAAGAACCAGTTACAATACAGTCTTAAGAGTTCTTCATTTCCAGCCTGATTTTTCTTAGTTAGGGTTGTTAGAATACACTAATAGTACAGTTTACATTGCTGTTCAGATAAAATTAAATTTTTAATTCAGAAGAAAATATATTATAACGTCTATTTCTGGAAAGTTTCAGTTGATTTATGTTAAACTCCATTTAACAAAAATTCTTTTCATTTACTGAATTATTCTTTATAATTTTTTTTTTGAAATTATGTAGATTATTTAGCTCAACATGATTTATTGTTATCTATAAAATTGATAATTGTCACTGGTAATTGATTGTATTTATATTTAACTTATGATAAAAAAATATTATTTAATGCATTAATTGGTCAGCAATGTACAAGATTTTTAGTTTATATCCATCATCTCACAATCTGTACAGAATCTCCTACTTCTAAGGTCAGCTTTCAGTTTATATAAACAAATAACCTTCAAGTGGAACTTTTTACAGTATTTCAAAATACTTTATGTTACACTGGGCTATCTGGCAGATGAAAATAAAGAAGTTACCACAGATTGACCGACAGCAGTTTAAAATCCAGAGCAAATATCACACCCTGAAAATTATTTCCAGCATGGTCATTTTCTTTAGAAAGATTGGAGGCTTTAGTTGTGATTTTAATTCAAATAAATCAACTTACAATTATATATTAATACATAAATGAGTTTTGATAATTACATAGAAAATGAGATTTAAGAATTCAACTACCCTAGCTATACAGAACTTTCTTGGGAAATTTATTGTGAAATTTATATATAACATGGAGCATAATAGATGTGTTAAACTTCGTTATTCAATTTGAAAAAAATGGAGGGAAATAAGCAGCCAATTGTAACAGATAAATGGTAAGTTATAATTGAATTACAGTTCTTAATATTTTTAATTTTTCATAAAATTATGAATTCTGTAAGCTCATTATTCAAAAAAGATTTTAAATTTTCCAGGAAACCTGTTTTAAAATATGGAGGGAAAATGAAATCATACTTAATTTTTCTAAATAAACTATACATTTTGATCATACCATTTTAGAAAAAAACAACTGAAGTCTTAAAATGTAATAAAAATTATGACACGATTGCATATTTGTTTTTTTCTACTTCCAAAATTTAGGTTGAAGCCAAATATTTCAGTAACATGTGACAAGAGGATGAAGAAGAAGAAAATGGTGTAATTGGAACAAAAGAATACAATAGAAGAAATATTACTGGTAATTTTTAATTTTTTTCATTTTCTATCAAAATTAGTTTCAGTTTTAATTATTAAAAGTATTCATTCCTGCAAATTTTATGGAAATAATGACTTCATGAAGTCAGTACATATATGTTTATAATGCTGTAGCTTCTTTAAAATAATTTCATCAATCATTTGTTCTTCTGATGTTTTGATTGCAATTAATGAAATATTATACCTTTAAAACTACATTGTATGGACATATTTCTCTATATAAAGGTGTTACATTTTCTTTTAGATAAATATATAAATTGAAAGTTGACTATAGCATATTCCTCCACTGCTTTCATATGTTTACAGATTGTGTAGTCCAGAGACTATAGTGTGGAATTATGTAATACAGTGTGCAGCTACCTAGTGGAAATATCAAACAAGAATGACTTTTGAAATGTTTTTAATTGTATGAAAATCAAATACAGATAAGTGAAAAAAAAAATCTCAATTATTATTTTGTCAAATATCAAAAAGAACAGGAATCTGGGTGGATTTTTATTTTAATTTCAGGGTGGGATTTGCAAAATTTTGGGGTGGGATAATAGCAGTAGGAAAAAAGTCTGGCCAGACTTTTTAAACAGAAATCAGGGTGAATTATGGCTCATTTAAA